TTAGACAGAACGGTCAGAGACACATTGAGTTGTGGTGTGAGGAGAACCAGTGGAGAACAGGACAGGTGTCTTGGTGAGAGACGTGCTTATAGATACACGTTCGCTAACGATATACACTGTGCTCACAATATTGTACAGATTATTACCATCGTATATCAGGCCAGCAGACATTAGTATGTTTAGGGTAGATGTATACTATTAAATGTATAAAAACTATACTTGAGTATATTTCTATTGTAAGTTACTAAAAACATACTCAAGTACATTTTTAAAACATATTTTTCATCTGGGTTATAACATAAACAGAAAATTAAAGATTTGAATATTTAATCAACCTAGTAATTTTGTTTTTCAATTACAAGTTGCCTCTATTTAGGGCATGACTACCTATATCACACTATTTGATGCCATTGGTACAGTATACGACGATCAATATTCTTGCTTCGGCATCCCATGTTAAACTCCATCATATCGCCGGGATGATAATCCTCCGATCTGAAGTGAACGCTACACACGATCTGAAGTGAACGCTACACACGACCGCGTTTCTCGAAGCCGATGCGGAAGAGAAATCCCGTCTCTTCACCTGCACAAACCGCACCAGGCACGAAATATATACAGCACCGTCCTTTTTCTTGTTATGGAAACCTGTGGACTCGATGTCCTGACAGGCCGGAGTTTTTGCAACCTCCACAAACACAATAATTTACCATGACGATGATAGATTGAAATACAAAAACTACCGAAAACACACGGACTCACGGCCGCTCTCACTGAATGCCAGCCTGCTCTCTGCACTGAGGCGAGGCTGAGGCTCCCTAGCGTGACGTAAAATGACGCGATGTTGAAAAAAAAGCAGTTTTTACGAGCAGTCCAAGAAACGCTCACTTTATCTACTAAATTAGTGCCCTTATGTCGTTTTAAAACATTTTAAATCCTGCATTACCTTTTCATATGGTATTTTCATACAAGGTTATATATTAATTTAGATTTTTTTTTTTACCTGCAATATGCTCTTTAATTCTACGTGGGATTGATTCAACAAGGTGCTGAAAGCATTCTTTAGAAATGTTGGCCCATATTGATAGGATAGCATCTTGCAGTTGATGGAGATTTGTGGGATGCACATCCAGGGCACGAAGCTCCCGTTCCACCACATCCCAAAGATGCTCTATTGGGTTGAGATCTGGTGACTGTGGGGGCCATTTTAGTACAGTGAACTCATTGTCATGTTCAAGAAACCAATTTGAAATGATTCGAGCTTTGTGACATGGTGCATTATCCTGCTGGAAGTAGCCATCAGAGGATGGGTACATGGTGGCCATAAAGGGATGGACATGGTCAGAAATGCTCAGGTAGGCCATGGCATTTAAACGATGCCCAATTGGCACTAAGGGGCCTAAAGTGTGCCAAGAAAACATCCCCCACACCATTACACCACCACCACCAGCCTGCACAGTGGTAACAAGGCATGATGGATCCACGTTCTCATTCTGTTTATGCCAAATTCTGACTCTACCATCTGAATGTCTCAACAGAAATCGAGACTCATCAGACCAGGCAACATTTTTCCAGTCTTCAACTGTCCAATTTTGGTGAGCTCTTGCAAATTGTAGCTTCTTTTTCCTATTTGTAGTGGAGATGAGTGGTACCCGGTGGGGGCTGTTGTAGCCCATCCGCCTCAAGGTTGTGCGTGTTGTGGCTTCCCAAATGCTTTTCTGCATACCTCGGTTGTAACGAGTGGTTATTTCAGTCAAAGTTGCTCTTCTATCAGCTTGAACCAGTCGGCCCATTCTCCTCTGACCTCTAGCATCAACAAGGCATTTTCGCCCACAGGACTGCCACATACTGGATGTTTTTCCCTTTTAACACCATTCTTTGTAAACCCTAGAAATGGTTGTGCGTGAAAATCCCAGTAACTGAGCAGATTGTGAAATACTCAGACCGGCCCGTCTGGCACCAACAACCATGCCACGCTAAAAATTGCTTAAATCACCTTTCTTTCCCATTCTGACATTCAGTTTGGAGTTCAGGAGATTGTCTTGACCAGGACCACACCCCTAAATGCATTGAAGCAACTGCCATGTGATTGGTTGATCAGATAATTGCATTAATGAGAAATTGAACAGGTGTTCCTAATAATCCTTTAGGTGAGTGTATACATATACAGTGGTGGTCAGAATTAATTAATTTGATCCCTGGTAAATATGATCAAAAATGGCTGTAAAAAATAAATCTGCATTGTTTGTCCTTTTGATCTTTCATTCAAAAAATGCGCAAAAATCTAACCTTTCATTGAAGTAAAAGAATTGAAAGTGGGGGGTAAATCACATTATGAAATAAAGGCTTTTCTCCAAAACACGCTGGCCATAATTATTGGCTCCCTGTTATTAAATACTTTTTGCAACCTCTTTTTGCCAAGATAACAGCTCTGAGTTTTCTTATATAATGCCTGATGAGTTTGGAGAACACCTGACAAAAGATCAGAGATCATTCCTCCATACAGAATCTCTCCAGATCCTTCAGATTCACAAGTTCATGTTTCTCCTCTTCAGTTCAGACACTCTTCTTCTATAGGGTTCAGTTTAGGGGACTGGAACGGTCATGGCCGAAGCTTCACTTTGTGCTCAGTTACCCATTTTTGTGTTGATTTTGGTGTTTGTTTTGGACCGTGCTGGAAGATCCAACAACGGCCCATTATAAGATTTCTAGTCAGGTTTAGATTTTTTATCTGTTGGTATTTGCTAGAATCCATATCTGAACAAGATGTCCAGGACCTCCAGCAAAAACAATAGGCCCACAACAGATAAGATCCAGCAGTGTATTTAACCGTAGGCATAGGGTACTTTTTATCCCTGTTTGCACCAAACACATATGGTGGGTTTGCTGCCAAAAAGCCCCTTTTTTTGTTTCATCTGACCATAGAATCCGGTCCCTTTTGAAGAGCCAGTCGTGTCTGACAACTGAATATGCTGGAGTTTGTTTTTGGAGGAGCAAGGAGGATTTTTCTTGAAACCCAAACAACATGTGGGGATGTAGGGGTTGTTTGATATATTTCTTTAGGCTATATCTGACCCCCAATACTCAAGTAATCTCTGCAATTCTCCATCTGTAATCCTTGGAGAGTCTTTGGCCACTCAAACTTTCCTCCTTACCGTGCATTAAGACAATATAGACACACGTCCTCTTCCTGGCAGATTCGTAACATCTTTAGTTGATTGGAACTTCTTAATCATTGCCCTGATGGTCAAAATTGGGATTTTCAATTCTTTAGCTATTTTCTTACAGCCACTTTTTATTTTGTGATGCTCAACAATCTTTTGATGCACATCAGAGCTATTCTTTGGTTTTACTCATTGTGATGGATGATTAAGGGAATTTGGCCTTTGTGTTTCCTCATATTTAAACTCCTGTGAAACAAGAAGTCATAGCTAGACAATTTCATGTTCCTAGTCACCCTGGTGTGCTAAAAAAAAGGATAAATATTAATGGGAATATACTTTAGAGATATTTTACTCGTTAATAATTGTGGCCAACGTGTTTTGTAGAAAAACATTTATTTTATAATGTGATTTTTGAATGAAAGATCAAAAGGATAAACAATGCAGGTTTATTTTTAACAGCCATTTTTGATCATATTTGCCAGGGGTGCCATTAATTCTGAACACCACTGTGTGTGTGTATATATATATATATCCCAGCAAGTATCTCAAAATAGCATATAGTTCTATAATTATCTGTATGGAATAAATAATAATATCTTCCAACATGGACACACCTGTTCATACAATCACTAAAAATGTTCAAGCCACGCTAATCTCTGTTCTGATAATGTTGTGTATCAGACCCCAGTTTACATACCTGTCTCCTTGCTAACAGTGTCACTGAGGACAGGCGTGTATAACATAATAGTGTTGCACAATTTTTAAGGTTAACTTGTCAGGCCAGTTGCCTTTAATGACTATTTTTGATATCAGTGTTTTCACACCTAACAAAACATGAGTAAACTTGTCTTATGAACAGGGAAATTCCACCCTTTTAGGGTAAAATATTCTCAGCTAATCATTTGAAAGGCATGCCTTGTTTTTCCTGACTTAATCACAGGAAAACCAAGCCTTGTTTTTCTCCAAAGAGTCAAACTGGTTTTGTTCATGGGAACTTGTAAGTGATTCTGAGTCATCAGTATCGGTTATCTGAAAAATGTAAATACAGTATCAAATTAGCTGAGATAAATATTGCTTTATTATGACCTAAAACAGAGGTTTAAGACATCAGCCCATATATACTGAAAATATACTGTGTGTTCTGTTTCTATGGATGTGCCTCTAAAACACACAGTCCTGAATGGCTGGATGATTACATGCATCAATGATATTTTACAACCTGGCTGACCATAAAAGTGCCATTCATATTTTAAAGCTACTTTTAATACATTTACTTTAAAGCTATTTTTCAACTGGCCATCAAAATTAAATTAAGGCAGACTTGAACAAAAACAGCATGATCGCAATGCTGTTTGTTACTCACACTCACGGCATTAATACAAATAGGTCTAACACACAATTAACATCACAAACATTCACTATTTACATTAATAAAATTTAATTAATAAAATTAAATTAATAGAGCATTTCTTCACTCTAACATGTAAAATGTGCTTATTTAATTGTGTATTTGTATTATCATCAATTAACACCAATCATCGTTATTTTTATTATTATTATCATTAGTAGTAGTAGTCATAGTAGTAGTGCATTTCTTGTTATTTTGAATCTTATCACAACGTCAACAGTGTGTGGCAATGGTGCCACCGCCTTCACAGATTTTCCATGACCAGTGTTGGATTTTAGTCAATATCTGCCATCTAACGGATATACTTGGTAGTGCAGCTTGTTTGCTCTCTGTATAAAACCCGCCTCCGAAAATCTTTCTCAACTTCTAATTGGGTAAAGGAATTTTCTCTCTTCAGTCTGATTCGCTACATGGTTTCGCCATTGTCGTCACTCACAACAGAGGTCACACATGATTAAAAAATGGACGCGTCCTGTTGAAACGCTACTGCTGTGTGAGTATAAAATGAATGTTTTTATTATTTCAGTTATTTTGAAGCGAAACCGCTGAATCATATGGAAAAAATGGAGCTTCCTGAAGAGACTGTGTGAGCTGTCATCTACTCCTGCGATGCCTTCACATGCTTGTTTACAAAGGGTGGGTTTAAAATTCTCTAAAAAACAAAGGCCTATTATTGTATCTCAGCTATAATGTGATAGAATACAAATCAGATACAATTGCTAACAGCAAAATACTCCGAGGTCCGAGTCTCTCGTGTTTATTTATTTAATGATTGACATGTTACAAAGAGTCATTCTCAAAATTTGGTAACTGTCCCTTGAATTTTCATCAAAATTCATGAGAAATAATATTGAAGAACCACCATATATACATTTTATTAAATAATATTTTTACCATACACTTGATACTTACAATTTAAAACTTAATTAACAAAAATGAAATTAAAGATAAAAATATAAATCATATTTTTATCATACACTTAATCATCTTTTTACAATTTCACACATCATCTTGTGACACTAAAGACTCACAGAATCATCTGTGTATCACAGAAATAAATTTATATTTAAAGTATATTAAAATAGAAAACCATTATTTTATAATAATGTATAGTAATATTTCACAATATTACTTTTTTTTAGCAAATAAATGCAGGCTTGATGAGCATAAGAGACTTTTTTTTTTTTTTTTTTAAATAAAAAAATACAGTAGCAATGTTTCCAAACGTTTTACTGGTACTGTGTATATGTGTATATTTCATACTATTTATGTTTTCCTTGTGGAAAAACTAGCATTTAAAAAAGTTGAATTAAAAAAAAAAAAAGTTCAGTGGAAGAAAAGGCTGTTCAACTATAAACATGATCACTGCCCCACATATACACTCACCGGCCACTTTATTAGGTACCCCATGCTAGTAACGGGTTGGACCCCCTTTTGCCTTCAGAACTGCCTCAATTCTTCGTGGCATAGATTCAACAAGGTGCTGGAAGCATTCCTCAGGGAGTTTGGTCCATATTGACATGATGGCATCACACAGTTGCCGCAGATTTGTCGGCTGCACATCCATTATGCGAATCTCCCGTTCCACCACATCCCAAAGATGCTCTATTGGGTTGAGATCTGGTGACTGTGGAGGCCATTTTAGTACAGTGAACTCATTGTCATGTTCAAGAAACCAATTTGAAATGATTAGAGCTTTGTGACATGGTGGAAGTAGCCATCAGAGGATGGGTACATGGTGGCCATAAAGGGATGGACATGGTCAGAAACAATGCTCAGGTAGGCCGTGGCATTTAAACGATGCCCAATTGGCACTAAGGGGCCTAAAGTGTGCCAGGAAAACATCCCCCACACCATTACACCACCACCACCAGCCTGCACAGTGGTAACAAGGCATGATGGTTCCATGTTCTCATTCTGTTTACGCCAAATTCTGACTCTAACATCTGAATGTCTCAACAGAAATCGAGACTCATCAGACCAGGCAACATTTTTCCAGTCTTCAACTGTCCAATTTTGGTGAGCTCTTGCAAATTGTAGCCTCTTTTTCCTATTTGTAGTGGAGATGAGTGGTACCCGGTGGAGTCTTCTGCTGTTGTAGCCCATCCGCCTCAAGGTTGTGCGTGTTGTGGCTTCACAAATGCTTTGCTGCATACCTCGGTTGTAACGAGTGGTTATTTCAGTCACTGTTGCCCTTCTATCAGCTCGAACCAGTCTGGCCATTCTCCTCTGACCTCTGGCATCAACAAGGCATTTCCGCCCACAGAACTGCCGCTCACTGGATGTTTTTTCTTTTTCGGACCATTCTCTGTAAACCCTAGAGATGGTTGTGCGTGAAAATCCCAGTAGATTAGCAGTTTCTGAAATACTCAGACCAGCCCTTCTGGCACCAACAATCATGCCACGTTCAAAGTCACTCAAATCACCTTTCTTCCCCATACTGATGCTCGGTTTGAACTGCAGGAGATTGTCTTGACCATGTCTACATGCCTAAATGCACTGAGTTGCCGCCATGTGATTGGCTGCTTAGAAATTAAGTGTTAACGAGCAGTTGGACAGGTGTACCTAATAAAGTGGCCGGTGAGTGTATATTCCCACATAAACTGCATCAATCTATTTGTAACACTTTTCTACAGCTGTGCATCTGCTACATGGCTCTCTTCAAGACCAGACCCCGTCACTGGACTGTGCTCTCTCAGAACAGAGCTTTGCACTTCACTGCCTGTGAACCGCAGTGTTCAAACCCAGACTCTTCCTCCTCTGTCAGCAGTGTAAACCAGACACCGGCTGCCTCAGAACCTGCGGACGAGGGCCCTCCATCTCCACCCACCCACTGCTGCATGAGCGGCTGTCATAACTGCGTGTGGATCGAATATGCTGAAAAACTGCTGAAGTATCACAGCAATGGTGGAGAGAGAGCTCTGGCGGCCATTGAGGAGAACGTTCTCGATGACAACCTAAAGGCTTATCTTAAAATGGAGATCAAGTTACTGAAGAAGCCTTGATGACAATGGACTGGGGGGGGGGGGGGGGGGTATTTATTGAGAGTTCAAAGTGTTCCATAGCAGCAACTATTTGCACGTTTTTAATAGGTGAGTTGTACTAAATCTGTCAAGAATATGTCTGGGTCATATTTCACCTCAAAATCAGTAGGAAAATATATAGGCTATGTTTATTTCACAAAGACAACAAATCCTAATCTTAGGACTATAAGGCTTTCATGACAATTAAGTCCTATGAGTTTTTTGTACTGTTTTTACATAGGACTTTTAACAAAATACAGTGCATTTTATTATAATTGAAATATACATAAAAGTGTGTTGTGAAAATTGTTAAGGGGATGTTCAATATTACAGAACTGACAGATGTCAGACTACACCCATGATAATACCTTCCTTATCTAAAGAACATTTTTAAAATGTTCACTTCTGCAGTAAAAAAGATATGAATTGCTAACATAACGATGTTATGTATTTATAGACAGCTATGTTTATAATTTAATATAATATTAGGAGAAAGTGCACAATTTCTTATTTATCATTATTTTACATATCATTTTGCTCAGGTTTAACCATGTTCTTATTCAGAAAACACAAGTACACACTATAATTACCTCAAGTGTCACACTGTGAACTCAAATAGCATACACTTATCCATGTGTAAACATTAAATAGCAAATCTGATGACACCAATCAGAAACTCAGAATAATATAAATAGGGCCACCTGTGATTATGTGCTTTGGAAAATGAATCCTAGTGGTGGGAGAGAAAGAGGAGGGGGGAAAAAATAAGGGGGACCGGGTCGAAGGACATTTGTTCCTGATGAAATGCAAAGCATTGTAGTTTACCCATGTTCATGAGGAAAGTTGCCTACAGGCTCATCTGCAGGGTTTTTATACTACTTACACATACAGTATTTCATATATATATAAGTTTTTTTTTTTTTTTTTTTTTTTTTTGCAGAACTGAGAGACGATTGCCTATATGGAGGCAGAGAAAGTCTTGTCAGAAGACTAAAAAAACAGTTATACTGTAGGATGGCAAATATGGTCACCAATATTGTAATGCAATTTAGCCGAGGATGAATTACATTTTTACTGTAATTGTATATTGTGTTGCATGCCAAGTTCATATTCAATTCTTTGCTATTTTAACTTTTCTTTTGTTGGTGATTTTAATTACTCCAAGATCTCTTTACAGAAGTGTAATGAAAATAAACTTTTCTTAAAGCTTACTATTGAATTTTACTGTATCTGCACTCCTCTATTTATGTTGTATACTGCAATAAGACATTAAGCTGTAAAATCAGTGTTCCAAATTTGAGGTTAATATCTCAAAAAGTAAGCTTTCAGTAAGATTTTGTTTGGGCGCAGTACCATACGTTTCCCTATCTGATCAGCTCTTGTGGCGTTAGAGCCCACATTGGCTTGCCTAGCAGCTTGTTCATGGCATTGGCTGGCACTTGTATGAGTGGTTTCTTTGACGACAACCATCCGGATCTGAGTACCTGTGAGTCAGCACATGAGGGCTTGATGCCGTGTGCCTGGAAGCAGGGTTGTGAGCCAGCTGTGGTTAGGTATTCTGTGAACAAGATGTACAGAAGACAATGTGACACTGGTTCATTGAGGTCATTAATGACCTCCATAGTGAAGTTTGAGATGCAACTCCAACTGTTGTAATTAATGGCAAAATAAATGTTTGGAAATGTAAATTGATATTTCCTATACTGACACTTTATAGCAAAATATATAAATAACTGGCTTAAAACCTTTTTTGGGGGTGAAAATACTAACATGCCGGTGAGTATATATATATACATACACTAACATAACATACACACTCTCTCTCACACACACACACATATATATAAATGGTAAATGGACTGCATTTATATAGCGCTTTCACAGACCCAATGGCCACCAAAGCGCTTTACATTTGCCTCACATTCACCCATTCACACACTCATTCATACACCGACAGGCGACGGCAGCCATGCAAGGCGCCATCCAGCTCGTCGGGAGCAGCCGGGGTTAGGTGTCTTGCTCATGGACACCTTGACACTTGGTCAAGTGGAACCGAGGATTGAACCACCAACCTTCCGGTTTGTAGACAACCCACATGAACCACTGAGCCACTGCCGCCCCATATATAAGATAGATTATAGATTTTAAATTCCAGATATTGTATTATAAAACTAATAATACACTTGTAACATCAAATCAAAGGGTCAGTGTTAGGATTGGTTAAATGGTTCAGATAACTACCAGGGATAAGAGTTTGGTCACGGGTTTATTGTTTGAACTGGGTCATCACAGTAATCTCACAAGCTAGTTATCAATTGTCAGAGCACGGACGCAGTAACCCTGGCTTAGTATATAATTGATCGATTCCTCTGTTGTGTCTTCATATCTCATTGCACACAGACGGAGAGAGGGGCACGTTCGACCCCATGACCTTGCGCTGAGGTTGTGGGGGCAAATTCTGACACAAAGACAAGAATGAGCAACCAATGACCCATAAATCCCTTTCTAATTGGATTTTTTTCTTTTTCTTCTTCAAAAATTTGATTATCCCAATTATCCCAGTCTGTCAATGTACACTTTTTTTTTGTTTTCTGTATTTTGTCATACAAAACAACTCTGATGATATTTAAAAAATATTAATTATAGGGTATATATTATATTATATTATATTATATTATATTATTAAAAGAAGACAGAAGACATCTTGAGATATTTAGCAAAACGTTATGATCTGCAGACAAAAAATTAACTACATTTACCCACCCGTACTAATGTACAACAAAATACTCTTTGAGTTATAGTTAATCCTAATCACAGATTCATATTATTTAACTGACAACAGCCTGTCAATAACAAAGACTCTCATTACCAGAGCAATACAGATGGCCAGGTGCTGTAATCCTGACCGCAGATCTAGACCATGTAATCAACTAATTAAACCTCCAACCTTTAATCTAGTGCCTTCAGTAATTATTTTTGTGCTGTTAGACTCAAAATAAAGCATGCGCGAAACAGGGATTTGGGTTCATGTCTTGGCTGGAGTCGTTCACTGAAAATGCTAATGAACTCCTCTCGACCCCCACAGATGTGAGCCTGTTGCGTAACAATGATAGAAAGTTGCAGAACAAACAAACCCTAGAAGAGTGCTCTCTGTCAAACAATGGACCTTTTCTGGATATTTCCATTATGATATTATTCCATTATGATATGTCCATTATGATATTATGTTATTTGATCAGCAAATCCAGTCTCAAGCAGAATTAGCCCATTCTAGAAACCTTCTGGAAAAGATTCCTGCCTGTCGCCTTTCTATATACATACATATATATGTAATTATTCTCCTTAAACATTTCTCTGCTAATTTTTTAAAGTCAGTTTAATCTAATTTAAGTTGAATTGACTCAAACATCCAAGTTCACTTAAAAATTTAAGGCAGCAACTTTTTTTTTTACAGTGTTACTAAATCCCGCAAGCTTCAGAAACATTATACAATGGACAATATGAAAAGCATTTGACCATTATTATTGAACAATACAGTACATTCATATTAATTATTCATATTTATGCAATGCAGGAATTATTATAATAATTTCATTAATTCATAATATGAATATATAATATAAATAAGAAAAATAAACCAAAACAAATATTATATTATTATGTATAAAGGGGCAGGTCAGCTTTGTAAAAATGTTTTTCTGTTAAACAAGCAAAACTCTTTTCATAATGCTTTTCATTGATGATAGGCCTATAAAGTGGCCTCATCAAATGTCCAAAAATTGTTTGAGACCATTATATATGCAATTTACTACGGATGTTGTTTTGTTATGTAAAAAATATATAAACAAGTTGCTAAAAGCTTATGGTGTTACAAAAATACAAATGCCCCATAAAACAAATACACACATATTGTGTTCATCTGCAGCCGAGGGGATCAGGGGCGCGAGGCGTCCCTCTCCTAATCTTCTGAGGGGGCCAGAGAGTATAAAAGGCCTGTAAACCCTGCATCGCTCCCAAGGAAAGCCGAGCGTTGACATCCACTCCTCCTCAGGAGAGAGATACATAAGGGGAACGGCGCTGCAGCTGCACCCAGTCAACAGCCTGTCAATCAACCGGTGAGTAGAACCTTTCAAAATTTAATCATCAATAAGGGATGAGTTGTTCTGTAATAATATTCTATAGTAAAGTAACAATGTGGTTGAAATAAAATAAATATATTATGGGTCTTGAAGGGCTTTTTTTTTAATAGCTGACCGTATATTATCTTGCTTTTCATACGGCTACTTAATGAATACATAAATAAACAGTATGAAATATTGATTTGAGGTTAAATTATTTCATTATGCAAAAAGAGAAATGGACATGAATGGTTGCCTGGGACAAGTAGCCTAATTTATATAGTTTGGTGGTCATTATGCAAAATTATCTGATCACAGAATGTCACAGTTGACCAAACAGAATAAAATATTCCAAAAAGCTCTATAATAATTTCATCTGTAAAGTGTCAAAACGTATAATGCAACTATTTCAAATAATGACAAATGGTTTATTTTCATTAACATTGTTTATTTAGAGTGGATAGGTGGCCATATGCATTCAATAATGCATAATATACTGTATATATACATAATTTACAAATTGTATGCACTGAGTATTCATATTTAAGATTTTGTTTATTTTGTTTTTTTTGCTAAATATGTATACAAACCATTGACCTTATTATTATAAATATTATGTGATTATAAATTTAATTTTAGTAGAATTCATTATTCTAGGCATCATTGCCATTGGGACGCTATTGCATCTATTCTCATTAGTCTTTGTGGAATATACCTGAAGGTCATATTTTGACTCTTATCTTTTCTGTTTGCTCAGCATGTTTGGTGTTATCCCTGCTCTAATAAGATTAACCCATGTGCAGATTGCCACCATTAGGAGAGGGGGACATTTATTAATCCAAGCTCTGGATTACACAAAATGGGTCACCCTACCCATCACTCATTCCCAGAGCTCATTTCAGGGAGCATGACCATGACAGACATTCAAGTAGAGGAGAATATGTATTTGGATTTGCGTATTACTCATCAGTAAGAGGATTGGGTAAAGTTTTCTCAGTCTGAGGTGGCTGCCATATATGTTCATTAGGTGCTGCTTTGACCTTGACCTAGTCTAACCTTCCTGGCCTAACGTGTATTTAAAATAAACTATTAAATACCTTTGTTTTAAGTACCATATGAACCAGTAAACTCTGATGCAGTAAATTTGGCAAAATCCATGTTACAGAAAAATCAATGTCATTGGGTGTGAACCATAAACTCACTCCAGTTTTTTTCTGATATGTTTACATCAGCACTACATCACGGAGAGTGAATACAAAGAGAAGAGACCAACGGTGACCAACAGCCATGAATCTTGAGCTGCCCAAAACAGAGATCAAATCAGCCACCCGTGTCACTGGTGGTCCCGCCACACCACGCAAAGGGCCGCCCAAGTTCAAGCAGAGGCAGACTCGCCAGTTCAAGAGCAAGCCACCAAAGAAGGGGATCCAAGGGTAAGCCGCACTATCAAAATCATGACTTTTATGATAATGGCTTTGTGTTATTTCACATGTCAGTCATATTTTATTATACTCCAGTAATAATGATAAAAATGGGAACACTTTTTAAAATGATAATATTGAATAATTCTGCAACATGACTATGTAAAAAAAAATATTTTAGTTCAATTGAATATATCCAATTAATTTTATTTTATTTGACAGTTTTGGAGATGACATCCCTGGCATGGAAGGTTTAGGCACTGGTAAGCATAATCTGCTTTACATTTTTCCTCACGTGTTTTGCCATTAGGACAGCATCACCTACCATCTATTCTAAGCCGCCCTTGTCTGACAGGGTTATGATCAGACAGTGCATGTATGTCAGACAATCCTCTCATACTGAGTATCATCAATGACATTATGACATCAGTATGATTAAACAGACCTGAATGGTAGTGGCCTTCAAGCTGCTTAAGTTAACCCTTTGGATGATAGATGAACTCATGTTGCTGTGTTTCTACCTACAGACATCACTGTCATCTGCCCCTGGGAGGCCTTCAACCATCTGGAGCTTCACGAGTTGGCCCAGTATGGTATCATCTGAGCCCTTCACCTTCCCATCATCCTCCCTGTCATGGTCTCCAAACCACCCGTCTCCATCCTGGCCATCAGCTCCAAGGGGATCATTCCATTTTTTATAATAGAATAAAAACACAAAAGAGCAACATTTATAAAAATGGAAAAACTAAGAAAAAATTTCTACCAAAAAAAAAAAATTCTGACTATCCAATGCTCCGGTTTCTCCTTTTTCTTGCAGTCCGAGAAAACATTCTGCTCAGACTATAGAACAGATATATGTTATATGCCTAGAAAAACCGCTGCTCCTTTTCTTTGCTCTTTTCTACTCTCCCTCCGTTTTCTTCTGGAACACGAAACAAGCAAGACAGCCTCAGAGTGAGTAAAAACAAGAGTCGTAACCGTGAAATGCCTGGCTTCTCATTTCACGTGCCTCGTTGCCTCTTCTGTCCACCTTCGCAGAGTTCGTAAGAAAATATCAAAGTCCTGTAGAGATGACACTTCACCCTGCTGGCCGACACTGCAGTTAGACCACCAAAACTTTATTTCAGACCACTCTTTCCCCATCGATATGCAGATTTTGACATTTTTTAACCTTCCCACTACCTTAACGTCTGTGTATTCTGGGTAAGGATACCCTCAGTTACTTTTTTAAATATCATGTTGGCTTTGTGCTTTTGCAACCCCCTCATTCAACGCATGCATAGCATACGTTAACACATATACAGGCACAATTAGATCATTTTGAATTCATTTTGGGCTATAATTCTCGGTTTCAGTAAGTCTCTCGCAGGTGACTGTTAGGGAGCAGTGGCTGGCATGTGTCCTTCATCCATGTAGTTGTTTTTCATCAGCATCATTTGTCCTCTTCATCATCATCACATCCCACTTTATCATTGTGTCCCATTTTAGTTTTACTAGAAATGAATTGAATATATATTATAATATATTGCATTGTATATTCATTATAATTTGATCTACTCACCGTATAAGGCTCCATTTAAATGTCCTGTATCTTTCATAGATTTATGATTTTCTAGCCATCATTTTCTTTCACTTTTTTGTCATTGTGTCAAGTATGTGTTTATTTCCCTATATTTATTTTTGTTGCATGCTCTCTTTCGCCATTATGTTTTATGTTCATTCATTGATTAGTTTTGTCACATTGTAGTTCTAATCTAATTTAATTTAATGGATTCTAATAGAAAAAGCCAATTTCCCACACAATCAGCTCCTCGTTTATCCAAAAGTAAATGATATATCCAAAGTAAATTCTACATTTGTGCAAGCATGAACTTACAGTATGTTAATTTTCACATGGATCCTTATGTATTAAGATTGTGTGTCCTCCTGAATCCTCAAGTTCTAAGTGAAATTCTCCTGTGTTGTTTTGGCTTGTATTTTGCAGATTTGAAGTTTCATAACATCAGTGACTAAAGTGAAGTTTTCTCTCTACAGGATGAGATCAAAATAAAGCTTGAAAAAAAAAGAGAAAAACGTTATTTGCTTGTTTCTTTTTCATGCTCCTGATATCAGTATAATAGTCAGTGGGTTGGGAAAAAATATCAGAGATGATTTAAAAAAAAAAGAATATGTTACAAAATTTTTTACAAATATAATGCATTAACTAAAATGTAAAGAATCCACTTCCACTTGTTGAATAAAATACAAAAATATAAACTTGTATAATATATACAGACTGAAAGTACAGATACTACTGGTCAAATATTACGAGTCCGACAAGTAAAAGTTGTAAAGACCTTTTTTTTACTTAAGTAAAATTACAGAAGTCCCTGTTTTTAAAAGTACTTAAGTATCAAAAGTAAAAAGTAAATTGTATAATTGCTGTAGGCTATATAATACTTACAGTAACTTATGCCTCTGAATATATGCCTGCCCTCATATCAATATCAAATTTATTTCTAGAACACAGTTCCAGGGATTGAATGTGAGATTAAATAAATGCACTCAATAAAGTCCACAATGGTTTCGGACACCCAAATGGCTGTTCCGTTAAATAGTGTCCTATTTAAAGTTTTTTGGCTTTTTGTATGAATATGTTAGCCTGACTGTTATCTATAAGCTAGTGTGCTCCAAAACAATGACACAATTTGCATTTAGAAGACCAAACCCAACGTTGAAAAGAAAATCGGGTTGACGTCAGAAACCAGCATCAGTCGGGTTCTGACGTCGGACAGACGTTGGATTTTGGTTGAAAATGAAAGTCGGTTTGACGTCAGAACCCGACTGATGTTGGTTTCTGACGTCAACTCGATTTTCTTTTTAACCACAATACAACTGTCCAACGTTGAAGATTAACGTCAATCTGACGTTGGATTCTGACATCAGCCTGATTTTCATTTTCAGCGGTTCTGAAAATCTGACTGATTTTCTGGGTTCTGACGTCAACCAAAAACATTCCCTAACTGACGTTACTTCTACTCAAGTACCTTGACAGAAATGTAATGGAGTAAAAAGTAAGACATTTGTCTTTCAATAGTGAAGTTAAAGTAAAAGGTTTCCAGAAAAAAGAATACTCAAGTAAAATACAGATACTCAAAAAGTGTACTTAAGTTACAGTCCACCTCTGAATATTTAAAGTAAAATATTTAAATTAATAAACATTAGCAGTGTCATTAAACAGTCAAAATTAAAATAAAATACTAAATAATAGTAACACACACACACACACACACACACACACACACACACACACACACACACACACACACACACACACACACACACACACACACACACACACACACACACACACACAGGCCACCGCAAATAAAGGTTAAATTACAGTATAACTTAAGTGTCATAAACTTTTATAAGATCTCTGGCAAAAAAATAAATATATATATAGTAATATATAATATATCAAATTCATTATATTTTGGGAAAAAATATATTGCCAACTTATTTTCGTTTTCTTTTTAAATGAAGATATACAGGAACATAACACATATCTCCTAGTTTCTATCCGGTGACTTTAAACATGATCCCGTCATAGCCCGGACTCATATAGATGTAGCACCGGCTCTGTGAGTTTGGCATCGCTGCATAGACCCGAGCAGATCACATAAACAGCGATATTAAAATACGACAAGTCTCATTTCAGCGACATCAAGAGGGACAGTTCATACCATCAACATGGCAGAAAACATAGTAAGTGTCAGTCTGCGTGTGTATGTTGGCAGTTTAAGTGAAGTCTGTCATCCAGTGATGAGGCAGCAGAATTGTTAGCATGATGCTAATGATCATACTCATCCAGATTCGTTCAGAAACGCATTAAACAATATTAACAACAGTTGTGTCCACCACTCATCTGACTCGTTAACTTATGATTAACCGCTATGGCTTGTTATTTCTGCTGAGGTTGACTTTATTTGGCTTGGCACAGGTTAATGAAGACAAGATTTAATCTAACTTAAATTAATAGTTGAGATATTACGCTATGACCTCAGTTAAGTTAGGATTGTTTTGAACTGTTGTGTTTCTGATAGTTTCATATCTGGGAAGTGAATTGACATTGAGTAACTTATTCAGGTGTTTTGAATGACACATTATATTTTGTTTAGCTTTTGTATTAAGAGCATACTGCGAGACCAGGAGTGTAGCTCTGTGTTTATATGATAATATGTAATAATAATATATCACTCTGTTAGATGTTTGGACATGGAGACGTGTGGCATGCGTATACCTCTGTACCGCTTTGAGTGTCAAATGTCAATGGTTTGCCCTCCAGCCACCTGTTTTCTTTTATTTGTACAACGGGCTTGTTTTGGGCTGATTAACAGTTGTGCTCGTTCCGTTTTAACCAAAGTGGTGCTCATTGCAGAGCCAAATGACATCCAGCTCCACCTCTCTGGACGCCATGGCTTGAGTTTGACCTAGTCCGGCTCCACCTTTGTGGATCTAATGGGTGGAGGGATAGAGTTATGGGTAGGGTTAGGATGTGGTTGGACCTTCTAGCTCCATCCATTATTACATCCCAAATTACATCCAGACAGGGGGAGCTGGATGTCCAGAACTGGAGGTCATGCTCCACCCATGGCTCTGCAGTGAGCTGCCTCTCTTTTAACTTGTTACTTGCATTATGCCTCTAATAGAGATTGATTGTCCATTGAAAGTGTGTACTTTTGCTTGTTGTTTGTATGTCATACATGTTGCACTAACCGTAAAAGTTCCCTTCCCTTATATTTGCTCATTGACAGATCATCCGTGTCCAATCTCCAAATGGAATGAAAAAAATCCCCTCAACAAAGCGTGAGACAGCTGCAGCTTTCCTTAAGAAGGTAAAGGGAATTCAAATTTGGCTCTAGATCTCTCTCTGTGCTATAATTTTCTTTCTCACATATGTAACTAAAAGATAAAAGCTGTACAATGATCTCCTTTTAACCTCTTATTGACAGTATGGCTGCACTGCATTATAGCAAATAATATTGTATATTCAAAAGTGTGGGTTATAAATTGTAATGTAAGGACATTTATAATGTTACAAAAGATTTCTATTTCCAATAAATGCTGTTCTTTTGATCACTTCCTATTCATCAAAGAATCCAGGAATTTTTTGATTAGGGTTTCTACAAGATTTTTAACCAGCACATCTTTTTTCAACGTTGATGATAATAAGAAATGTTTCTTGAGCACCAAATCTGCATATTATAATGCTTTCTGAAGAATCGTGGCTTTGCCATCACAAGAATAAATCTCATTTTAAATTGTATTTTATTTTGTAATTATATTTCACAATATTACTGTATCAAATTAATGCAGCCTTGGTGAGCATAAAATACTTCTTTCAAAAGCATTAAAAAATCTCACTGACCCCAAACTTTTGAACGGCAGTGTATAATATGTATTTGCTCTTAGAATGGAATGTAACTTTTATTAAAAAGATTTTGTAGCCAAGCAGATTAAGTGAAGTGGTAGTTTTTCATCTGCAGCAAAATCATTTAAATGAATATTGAATACACTGTCAAATTTATTTGCTCACCCTTCCCTATGACAGAATAGGTGTTACTATTCACCACAGATTGTATCCATTGTCATGCCTCTGCACTTATGCAACGGTTACATTCATAGCCTGTCAATAAAAAAGCTGAGAATAGCACTACAACAAATGCACAGCATCAGATCCTGAGTCATTAAAAGTGTCAGCACAGACTCCTTCTCCTGCTGAGAGCTGAATGTTGATTTATTAATGAGGCAGCTCTGAAAAAGGAGACCTACTGTATGTCCATATGCTGCAGGCTCACAGATGTGGGCC